ACACACACATAATATATATATATATAATATATATATATATATGTATATATATGTATATATATATATATATATATATATATATATATATATATGTATATATATATATATATATATATATATATATATATATATATATATATATATATAATATATATATATATATATATATATATATATATATATATATATATTATATACACACACACACACACACACACACACACACACACACACACACACACACACACACACACACATATATATATATATATATATATATATATATATATTATATGTTTGTATATATATGGGTGTGTGTGCACATACACACATACTCAAACAAACCTCGAGACCGATCATTATACTGCCAACCAAAACAAACAAAACAACAAAGACGTCTTTTGAATACAAGCTTTATTATTATTTGAGACACGACACGCACATGTCCCTATAAACAAAAACAAATTAAAAAAAATTAAATATTTACTCGACGTACAACAACACCCCACAAGGACGAGAGTGTAGAGGGCGAGGGAGGGAAAGGAATTTATATAGGGGCGAAGCGGAAGGCGACAGCACCCATTGTCAGCGCGATGAAGAGCCTCCTGTGTTGCCTCCTCTGCATTGCTGTTGGGTAAGAAGGGCGAGTTGTAATGTTAATGGTTGGAAGAAATATCTACGCTGCTTATTAATAATTTGGTATTGGATGTATATACTTTTTTATTTCTTTATTCATTATTATTATTATTATTGCAGTGTTTTTAGAACTAACCCCAAACCTTTTGCTTGATGGCTAAAGCTCCCGAATCTCTTTCGCACAGCGTGCAAGGCTGGGTGATGCCTTACGGGCCGCGCCCGATGGGTCCTGCGCCGTTATTCGAGCCCTGGTGGTCGATGGGTGTGCATCCTCCCTCGTGGATGCTGGGGCCGCGGTCGCCCTGGTGGCAAGAGGGGCTGTGGGAGATGTCCTTCAACGTGGGCTGCACGCCCTTGATTATCGCTCAGTTAGCTTGCAAGCACGGGACCTACGTGGACTCGGAGAATAAATGCAAATGCTCTGCGGTAAGGGTTTAAGGGGCTCTGTGTTGGGGCTCATAATGGACCCGAGTACAAACTTTTGAGGGCTTTGCGATAATTTTTTTATGGGCGTTGTAGGGAAAAAATCCTTAAGCTTAAGCTGCTTGATTATTTGAAATCAAAAGAAATTCAAAGTTTTTACTCAGTACAAGCCAAACATAAAAAATGGCAACTCACTCCAGACTCTGGAGTGCTCACGTCCATTATAATTGTGTATAATCATCTATATTATCATTGCTCTTATTATCAGTTATGTGAATGCAGTCTGCTTCAATATGTCTAATAGTAGCAGTAATATAAACATTATCATCATTTTTGCTATTATCCTCACCACCATTATTAATACTTCACCGTTTTTCACCAACCTTCCATCACTTTCCTAGTCCTCAAAGCCCCACACACTGTACCAATAGTTTCCTGCCTCCCAGGGGTTGAACCAGATCTGCGTCAAAAGTGACCAGGACACACGCAGATGCGCCGCGAATCTCGAGTGCTCCTCCAAGACGGGCAGATGCGTCCCGGTCGCCGAGGAGAAGAAGAAGAAGAAAGAATGAACTTGTACATGAATGGATTCCTATAGCAACTGCTGAATAAAGTGACGGAAGCAATGTTCTGTTTTGTCTTGGCTTACCGAATGATTATACCGTATTCATGTTGGCAGAAGAAAAAGTATGAATGAGAATGAATATTTTCACAATACAGGAGACGTATTTGACCGGTTTCATGTATTTCTGACGAGGATATATTCGAAATCGGTCAAATATCTCTTGTAATTTTTTATACATTTTCATTAATACATTTTAAACATACGTAGAAGTATAGTTATCATTCTCACGAACACTAGATATTGATACGTCAGAACACACACATTGCATACATATATATACAATTAGCAGATAAACAGTCTATTGTTTATTCTAAAAAGTCATTTTTAACGCACAACCAATATGAAGAGTGCATACATTCAGGAAATAAAAAATCTGTGATTTGTACATGCTTACAAATACTGTGATTTGTATATGTTTGCGTCATATTGTAGTTGTCATTAGTTTAATACTGTTATTACTATTATTGATATTATCAATATTGATTTGTTATTACCATTATTATTACTGTTATTATCATTATCTTCATTATCATAATCACCATCATCAATATTATTATTACCGTTAGTGCTGATATCATTATTGTCATCATTACTACTGATACTATTATTAATATTATTATTGTTGTTTTTGCTGTTATCGTTATCATTATCATTATCATTATCATTATTATTATTATTATTATTATTATTATTATTATTATTATTATTATTATTATTATTATTATTATTATCATTATTATTATTATTATCATTATTATCATTATTATTTCAGTTATCGATCATTACCATTATTATTATCATGGGCAACAATAGCTT